AAGAAAATAAGAAAAATAATGATTTATTATAATGTAAATATTTTTTATCTTTTAAATTTAAACAAATAATTTAAATAAAGAAAAAAAAAACTAATGAACTTGAATTTTGAGAATTTTGAAATTAAAATGTAAGTTTATTAGTGATATTAATATCCATTTATTACTATATTTATTGTAATTATTACATTAAAATATTATGTGGAATTTAATAAAATAGAAAATCTCATAAAATGACATGTGGAAAAAAATTAATTCTGTAGCACCTGGTTCTTGGTACGTACTCTGTTATTAAATCTTCATTTATTTTTGCATTTTTTTTAGCATTGGACTCAGCGAGTCGAAGGACTGACTCGCCGAGTAGAAGTGGGATGAGGCACGGGGTTTGAGTTGCGGACTCGGCGAGTAGCCGCTGTTTGGACAAAAACCCTAATCCAGGGGTTTGCACCCTATTTAAACGACCTTATGCAACCTCTTTTCCCCCTTAATGCTCCCAAACGCTCCTCATAGCAAACCCTAGCCTTTTTTGTGAAGATCCAAGGCTTTTTGAGTGCTTCTTGTGTGTTTTGATCTCAAGGAAGAAGGAAGAGCATAGAAGGATCAAGAGGGGAATGAAGGATTCGAGTTTGGTTCATCATTTGCAGTCTTTGGAAGGTATAAAGTCTGAACCTTGCTCATTCATTTGTTAGATCCCTCTTTGAGGTGATTTAGGGCTTTTTAAGCCATTTTTGGTGGCCAACCATGTTTGCAAACATGGTTGGGGGTTTGGGCTTCTATATCACGTCATTTTATGAGCCACAAGTCAGATCTAGGTTTCTTTTTGCACTAAGGAAGGCCCCATGCAACAAAAGAACCATTTTAGAGCCTTTTAAGCTTTTATGTCCCATGCATGCACGTAAAGTTTGTAACTTTACGTGCTAGATCGAGTTTAGGAGTCTGGATCTATCATTTGGTTAAGTGTTGTACATCAGAAATCGAAGTTCTTGGTAAGGAATGAGATAGGCTCGGCGAGTCCATTCTTGGACTCGACGAGTCCAGGGGTTTTGGTCCCATATCAGTGAGGGTCATAAGGACCAGTTGAGTGTGGAAGGGTTTTTAGGAGTCCCGGGGAGTGACCCAACATTCTGGACTAAGCAAAGTGTTCTGGGAATTCATAGTACTCGGCGAGTGCATGAACGGACTCGACGAGTCCAAGGCAATCTTCATGGTACTCGACGAGTCGGATGTGGATTCACTCGGTGTTCTTTTAGAAGGAAAACTCATCGAGCATCGCCTAACTCGACGTGTAGAGACAAGTTTGTGGTCTAATGGAAGGATAGGGACTCGGCGAGTTGGCGAGCCAACTCGGCGAGTCAGGTCAACTAGAAGCTGACTTTGACTTTGACTTGGTCAGGGGTAAAATGGTCATTTTACCCTAAGAATAGATGTCAGTTTCTGACTGAGTGTTTTGTGGGAATTATAGCTGGAGGATTTCCGAAGCAGCAGCAACGGTAGCAGTCAGAGGATTCCCGCACAGTTCAACAGCTACTACAAGGTGAGTTACATTCCAGTAGCAATGGGTCTAAGGACATAATACCGGCCCACTAGTAGGAGTGTATGTTTAGATGATTATCTCTGTGATATTCATCTAGGGATGCTACTACATGCGTTATGTTTATGTGCTAGTATGATATGATGCTATGTGCTAGTGAAGTAGGGGAAATAGTCCCCAGAATACCGATCGATAGGACCGAAGGGGAAGATATGCCCAACCATGCTAGATAGATTATGTGATACATGTTATGTGGCGGTGGTAGGGGGTGAAATAGTCCCCAGTGTCATGTCGAGAGGACCGAAGGGGAGACCATCACCTAGATATGCCTGAAAATATATGTATGGTATGTGGTTGTTTGGTATGTGGTACAGTGGGGGAACTCACTAAGCTTCGTGCTTATGGTTTTCAGTTGTTGTTTCAGGTGCCTCTTCAACGAATGGGAAGGAGCTGGCGCGGTAGCTGCATATCACACACACACTCTTTGTTTTCCGCACTACGAGATATTCTGGGATTTGTACTCTGACATTATGGTTGTTTTTGTGTTTTGGTTTCGGACATGAAATATGTTTATGAAATGATGATGTTTATTCCCCAAATGTTTTCCAAAGTGTTGATTTGAAAATGAAATTTTTGGCTGTGAAAATTGGGTCATTACAAATTCAAAATAACCACAAAATGACATTTGGCAAATTGAATGAGAGGTTAACAAGTGGCAAAAAAACATTCATTTATTAAAGAGGATTGCTTCTACTCCTGGTCCCTCTTTGCAAAACACATATCATATTATGGAAGAACTGGGAATCAGAAATTGATGGTAATCTCCTCCGACAACTTCAGGTAAAACATTGATCATGAACTAACCCTACTATTTTGTATTTATTGTGTTAGTAGCAATGGTTGTTTTGGTTCTACTCTTTTTACCACAAGAAAATCATTAGAATCTAACTGTATGGAAATCAATGGTTGAAAACTTGATCTTTGGTTATTCAGAATTCTTACAAGGTAATTTTAGTGCCACTCAATTCTTATCGAGACAATAATTTTAGGAAACCAGATCATACTATCATACTGGTTAGTAAGCATGTATTCTTTGTTTCATCTAATTATGCCCAATAATTAGCTATGAAACGACTTTCACCTTATCTCCCCCTGGTGTTGTGATGGTGATGGAATGTTGGTTTTAGGACATTCCATTGATGAAGGTAATGGAAAAGGAATATGAATACAAGCGTAGATGTTAACAAATTTGCTACTTTTTCTGCAATTAATCATTTCGTTAACAAGCTCAATGGTTATTAGGCTCTTGACTTTGTCTTTCTTTTGAAAAATTTCTAGAAGAAGGGGAAAAGAGCTCGATGATTAAGGAACTAAAATGATTAGACATAAGGTTGCTTACATAAAAATGATCAAACTATGAGAAAGGGAAAGTACCTAGCTTTAATGTGGTTTAAATGGACACAAAACTCAAACTAGAAAATTAATTACAAAAAGTTATTTGTATGCATAATTTAATTTTGTTCATCTTTTTTGCCGTTGAACTCATTACAAAGTATATCGCTATCTCGTATATCCATTACTAATTTTATTACTATTTAATGAGGCTTATCTTCATGGTTCATTGTCTTTTTTGTCCGTACTATATATTGTGTTGATCCAAAGGGCTTTTAAAAATTGATGTCACCAGGAACTTGTAGTTGATAATGTACAAGACAAAAATGTTTTTTTTTTTTTTTTTTTTTTTAAACCGAAAGATAAAAATAAAGAAATAGTCAATCTGTTATATATTTCACGTGATGTTTCTATCAAAGATTTATTGGTTCAAGAATTAAAATGCACCTTATATTTATATCATCAATCATAAACAACTTTCAACAAGCATTTAATTTCATTTTAATTTTATTCAGGTTTGAAAATCAATCTTTTACTTCAATAACTTTTATTTGTGTATTAGATTATCTATGTTTGTGTTTGTTAAAAGGTATTTAACTGAAAATGTTAATAAAAATTAAAACCACATCATCAAATAATTTTCTCAATATTTTAATTATTTTTTATTAATACAAATTTGTAAATTGTATTTAATATCAAATAATGAACTTTAATCAGACAATATGTATTAACACATATTCCGAATTATAAATAATTGCTTTTTAAAAAGACATATTTTTGTTATTTTAAGTGATTTTAAATGCTTTTAACGATACCCGACTTAAGTTGATTGAGTTTAAAGTTGAGTTTTTGGGGTTTGATGAAGAAAATAGGGAATTCCCATCGAAAAAGAGAAGGTTTAATTTTTAATTGGTTGTGAAAATTTCCATATTTTGGTTGTTTTTAGGATTCATTCACGCTTCAAAGATGAAGAGAAAAGGAATGTCGAAAATCAATGGTGGCATGACCTGGTGTGATAAAAATAATAAAGGGCAAAATGGTCTTTTTATTAAAAATAAAATTAGATGCTCTACTCGTGTTTGTATAAAGTTGGGTTGGTCTTATCGGTAAAAGAAAGTCAAAAGGAGAAAAAAAAGGGCATAAAGTCTTTTTATGGTTAAAATTAAAAACAACATATTGAAGAATACTAGAGATTTCATGCTCAGGTGCAAAAATAAGATTAAAGGTCAAAATGGTCTTTTTTGAAATATGTGTATTTTGTTATGTTTTTTTCAACGTTTGTAACCATGACCATGGTTGTAGCAAGAATTGGAAGGAATAGTCCGATTTTAAATATTGGTGCAACTAAATTGTAAAATGGTATTTCAGCCCTTTTATGGATAAAAAAACGTTGGTGTAAAAAAATTTATGGATCAAAACATTGGTGTAAAAAATTATAATCATGTTTGTGTCACTTTTGATGTTAAGTGCAGATGGTATAATAAAACTTCTAATCGTATTACATTAAGATTTTTAAGCATTGTTTTATATGAAATGTTTTGTATATTGTCTTTCATTGCTTAAAAACCATTTTTACTTTAGATAACAGAAAACTTAATTTTCTTTAGCCACTATTTTGTTTTAACTAGGTTAGGTAAACATGATATCATCTCTTCTCCTCAATACTCCTCCTATTTTTCGAAGATGTTTAGGCAATCAAACACGGTAACAATGATAAACCAAAGGGTCCAATGCAATTCATGTCTCTACTCATCTTCATAATTCCTATTTCTCTTTATTAGACTTGAACAAACTCTATGAGTAAATCATATTTAGCAATGTGCTTTAGGAAGATAACTAAATATAACAATTAGCTTTGATTCTAACACATGAGCCAAGCTTTTAAATATATTTCCACTTCTCATGTTGATTACACCACATTATGAATGATTACGTTTTATTTATTTATTTTATAATTTCAATGTTGTTTTTCTTTTTTAACCGTTGTTTCTACGGGTTTTAAACGTAGTAAAATAAAATATTAATATATTTTAAATGTATATAAGAAACTGTTAACTAGAGTATATTTCACCATGGCTATTTACGAACTCCAACAAACATTATCATCTGCTCCATCCATGATCCATTGGCCGAGGTCACTCGGCCTACACGGCACTATAAGTGCACCCTTGTGCCTAAATCCATACTCCTCGGCCGCACTTTCCAACAACATCTTAAACGATGGACGACCAAGATAAGCCAAAGGAACAATAAATCTCCTTTCTTCATCTTAATTTATTGGATGCAATCACAGCAACATGGCCTTCTTTCACGTCTTCAGGCACCGATTCACGATTCTTGTTACCCGGAGCCCATTTCATGGCTTGCAAAAGTCTCTTTTGCAGCTTCCCTACCACCACTTTGAGTTCCAAAATGCTACTGTTTTTGTTCATAAAAATTTGGGTTTTTAGCTTTCCCATTTCGTATGTACTCTCTCTTTTTTATTAACAGTTTTGACTATTCTCTGCTCTCTACGCCTTTAACCATGTACACATCGTTTTATAGACCACTTGGTCATGAATTTGAACGAAGGTACAACAGTTGGATGTGCATGATATGGAAATTAAAGACTAGTGAATAGTTATTGTTTATGTGGAGTCACATCTGTCGACTAGCATTTCTACAACTTTAAAGTCCAAATTCTAAATATCAATCCTAGTCTAAAACGACAAATGTATAGGTTGATTCTAGATCATGCATGCATCAACTAACGATTTATCAAGAAACGTTTTCGAAATGGGTTGGCGATTTGCCGATTTGTACTATATAGTTTTCCTTCATTTCAAATTTATTTGAAAACAAAAATACAATCGGGAATACGAATATAACGCAAAAATAAATAGAAAGGTTTGTAAAGAATATGTTGAATATTCTTTTCCATTGAACGGCAATAATATTAAAAGTATTAGGTCATGGGGTATGATCACATGATATTCACTAGAAAAGTGATGCTCACCCCCACTATATGTTCACCATAGATTCACTAACCTTGGAAATGGTTATCACTAGGCAATGTTTTATATATATATATATATATATATATATATATATATATATAATATATATATATATATATATATATATATATATATATAGATTAAAATAAAAAAAAAACTAAATTAATAACATAATTAGATATTTTACGTTACATAAAAACATAAAACATAGAATCTCAAATCTAGATTCCGAATAACCATAAAAAATAAAACTTAAATATTAAATAAATAAAAAACATAGAAATTAAACATAAATATTAAAAACGTTAAAACCTAAAATCCATGCTTTTCCCGAACTTCTTTTTGGATTTTCAGAAACGCGGCTAAATTTTCCGGGTCAATATCTGGTTGCGGCTTCATGTTTAAAATTTGAAGATCGGTGAGTGCTTGTTTTCGGCACCGAGCATTCTCCGTTGCTTCGTATTTTTGTTGTAAAAAACCTAGAGTTTTGTCATTTTTGTCCGCAAGCACGTCTTCGTTAATCCCTTTTCTGCTTGAAGAAGCCGCTTTTTTCCCTTTATCCCTTCCCGGTGCCCGACGAAGTTGGACTTACAGTGGACCCTCCCCTTCGGTCCCATTGAAGTCGTCATTGAGGTCAACACCAAAACCCACATCAGATTCCGAAGTTCTTGGCCTTTTGTTGGAGCCGGTGGTCGATTCCGAATGCAAAATCTCCGGTTTAAGGACCAATTTTGGACCCTTACGATAAATTTCCCACGCTTTTTGGTGGCCGAACGCTTTACCGCCGGTGGTAACTTTGAATTGTTGGCATGCGGTTGATAAAATATTGAAATCGTTGCTACCACTTTTATGCATATTTTTCAGATTTTCAAATATGCCGTTAAACTTGGTGCACGCCGCTCGTAGTTCACGCCATTTTCCGTTGACCACGTCGTATGTTCGACCCGTTTGCCTTCCCAAAAGTGAGTGAAAGTGATCTAAAATACGAACCCAAAAACTGGTTCCCATTTGTGCGTTTCCCGGCCTTGAGTCACACGATATAGAAATCCAAGCTTTAGCTAAAGCTTCCTCCTCCTCTTCGATCCAAGTTGTTCATCTTCTATTTATAGCTTTTCCTTTTGATTTCCTATGCCTAGATAGTTGTGTCTCTTCGACCCGGTCGTCCTCGTCGTTGTCCAAGTTTATAGTTGGGGATTGAGAACAAGGGACTTGAGATGGTTGTGTTTGGAATTGTTGAGATGGTGGTGTTTGGAATTGTTGAGATGGTTGTGTTTGGGATTGTTGGGGTCGCAATTGTTGAAAACCTTGGAATTGGATTGTGGTAATTGTTGTTGGAAGTAGTTTGGTTGAAATGAAATATTGATAAATAGAGGTTGATGTTGGATTGGGGATGTTAGCATTTGAATGTAACCTTAATATTGATCATTTGAAGTGGTTGGGGTTGTTGGGGTGTTTGGAGTGGTAGAGGTATTTTGATTTTGCTCCATATTTTTTTAGAGATAATGAGATAGTGGAGAGATATTATTTGTAGAGAAAGATGTGTTTAGTGTGTTTATGTGTTTGTGTATATATAGTAGAGGAAATAAATTGTAAACTTTTTTTTGTTTAATTAAAGTAACGGTCAAAAGAAGAAAAAAAATGGTCAAAAAAAAATATCAACCAATCAACATTTGCATGACCGTCCGTAGCACACATCAATCCGCGTCACATTCATCGGTAGGGGGTGCGCTGTTCACACGTGAAAACCCTCCTACACGTCACCTCTTACGCGTAAAAAAAACACCCCATACCCTTTGGCCTTAGACCATCCATTATACCTACTACTAATAATTATAGTGATGAGTGTCACATCATCATCATACTGTCTACCACTAACCATGTGATACATACCACTAAACACACCATTCCACCTCATTTTTTTTTATTAAATTTAATTCAAAAATACATTGAAAAACATGTAATTTTTTTAAATACTAATTATACAAATAAATGATTTAATAATAATACTAATACTAATAATAATAATAATAATAATAATAATAATAATAATAATAATAATAATAATAATAATAATAATAATTTAAATAAATCAAATTACTTAATTAATTAGAAAATATACATCCAAGGTTTAATTTGTCATTTTAGAAACTATATATGTTAAAAGATTTCTGATCAAGGGTGCTTTCTATCAATGAACTGCATCTCAGGGATCAAAGTTGTCAAGACTTGGAAACTGTATATTCTTCCCCAGCAAAAAAAACCCAACTCGCATGAGCTCTTTTTCTCAGTTTCCGTCCTTCAAGCGAGCAATCCAACCCCATTGGTTGTTTCAATTCGTGATGCCCACCACTGAAGATTACGAGCACGAAGGACCATGATGGTTCGGGCTAGTGTGCAGGAACCACAGTCATGGCCAACTAGACCACAACACCCACCACGATCCGTATACCGCTTGGTCTTAGAAAAATACTAACTGACAAATATTACAATGTTAATAAAGAACAATATAATTAAGGGCATGAAACCCAAGTCTCCCAGTCCATTTCGAGCAATGAATCCATCAAACAAATTTATCAATGAACCTATAGCTAAGAAAAATAACCGTGAACGTCTAAAAGTGAAGCGTGTCTAGCATCAAAGTAAAGCTCCTCACAGATACAGTTGTTTAGACTTAAATCAAGAATCACCAAGGTATAGTTCGTCATTCGTGAACTTGAAAGATGAACCGGCCATGCATAATTCATTCTTCATGGGTTCGTATAAGGAACCAACAGAGAAATGTTCATACCACTTAGACTTAAATGTGGAAAAAATATGGCAATATTCATACCAGACATACTTGAATGGGTAACCGATATCATACCATATTGACTTACACGAGGAACCACCGGCGGGACATAATTCATTGTTGAAGGAAATTCCATCTATATTTCATCTATACATCACACATATACAAAATGTAATGGGTGAAGATAAGTGGCTTTACATTCGTCAACAATTGTTAGATGAGTTATTGAGTTCATATGATGACTACACTAGAGTTTTCGTTGGATATGATGAAGTAGTTACTTCATTGTCTTTCTTTATGAAGACTAAGTTAGCACCAACAAAACCACTGAACATGCATCTTGATAGTCAAACATGTTTGGTATGACCGTTCAATTTTTAACCAATGAAGGTTGTGTAATTTTTTTCCTCTTTAGAGAGGTCCTAAAGAGTTTCAAAATCATCGGGTCCTTACATTTGCACTTGTTTACACCAACCATTATATGATGGTATAATTGGAAGGAGAGCACCCAATGCCTCCTATTGTGACATTGTGGATCCGCCACAAAATCCTATCAACAACCAAATGACAAACTATTTATAAGTCGCGGTTAGAATTTTCTAAGCTTCTCAAACCCACTGAAAGGTATTTTATGACCATAGATGATTAGTTGTTGCTTATTTTTGTCTTAAATTTCTGCTATGTAATATTTAAAATTTAAAAAAAGATTTATCCGATTTGTTTAGAATCCATGTAGAGTGACAAAATTGTCTCTTTTTTTTAATATGTTTTGCTAAGTTTTACTTTGATTTTTTTATCTTACATGTAAAGATATACTCCCTCCGTCCCAAATTGATAGTCCACTTTTGACTTTTGAAGTTTTTTTTTCTTCAATTTTGACCTTAAATATTTTTATTTGTGTTATATATTACAAGATAAAACTTATAAAAATGAACAAACATTTAAAATACATTCCATTCATATATTTTGTATCAAATATTATCTATCAAAAACAAAAATATTTAAGGTCAAATTTGAAGAAAAAAGACTTCAAAAGTCAAAAGTGGACTATTAATTTGGGACGGAGGTAGTATTATATAAATTATAAAAATAGTAAAATTTCATTTTATTAATTGAGCATTTATGTCAGTAAGGATGATATGGTAGGTGAGTGGTGGTGGCGGTAGCATTGGTAGTAGTTGGTGGTGGGTGATAATGGTGACAGTGGTGGTAGGTGGGTGGTGGTGGTGCCGATGGCAGTGGCAGAGATAGATGGTGGTGGTGGGTGATGGGTGGCGATGGCAGTAGCGATGGTGATGGCAGGTGAGTCGTGGTGGCGGTAGGTGATAAGGGTGGTGATGATGGTTTGTGGTGTTGGTGGTTGTAGTAGGTGGTGGTGGCGGTGAAGGTAGTGGTGGTAGGTGGTAATGGTCACATCGGTGATGGTAGGTGGAAGTAGGTGGTGGCGGCGACGGTAGCGGTCGTAGGTAGTGATGGTGGTGGGTAGTGGTAGAGGTTATGTTGTGAAATAAAATAAGCATAATAAGGTAAAGTGTCACTTTCCTGTCTAGAAGATAATTAATTTCATCATCTTCTTGAAGGAAAGTTATATTTGATGAATTTTTTTTTGCTTAGGATTCCAATTCCATCAAACATAGTTGAACCAAACATTGGAAAGTGGTAGAATTGAATTCCT